TGAGGAGAAACGCAGAAATGTTTGCAGTAAACTTCATGACCTTCGACACATGGTTGTTGTAAAGTTCTGCAGTCGAAAAAAGGGCAGTCAAAACCAATTTTTTCCCCCTAGCAACACATTCAAAAAGGCGGGGGGACCAAGATTGTCCCCAAATTTGCAAAAAGTACTACTCAAACGGCCAGGGGGCGGGCAGACGACAGCACAAATCCCTTTTTGGGGCTTTGTCTGGATAATATGAGCACTAACCTCGCCCCGGCTTTTTTGGAAATAGAGACTAAGTCGCCCATTGTGGCTTTGTCGGATAATACTGAGATAATTGCTTCTGGCTTCAATCCAACCCGAACAAAACATTGTAGATGACTAATTTGATAAAAACCTGAGCGATTTTGGTAAAAGGGGAATTTCCAACCATACAACTTTAAATTTTTTACAATGTCATTTATTTTAAAATTAATCAATATGTTTATGTGACACCAGGGGGAGCCCCACTCCCCTTTGACCGGGTGTCAAAACTATTAAAAGGGAGGGCCTAGTGTTGCTGGTTTTTTTTGGTTTTTCCCTTTTAATTTAAAAAAAGACAAAACCTAGGGGGGGTTCCTTTTAAAACCTAGACAACCGTGGGGGGGTTCCTTTTAAGACATAGACAACCGGGGAGGGGAGTTCCCCTTCTAAAACCTAGACAACCCGGGGGGAGGGGAGTTCCTTACTAAGACCTGAAACCCCGGTGGGGGATTCCCCACAAAACCTAGACACCAGGGAGGGGAGTTTCCTTCTAATTTTGACCTTAATTATCAATAAATACAAAGGGGGGGGAAAACCCGTAGACATCGGCCCCGTGGAAAGAGTTTGCACTGTGGCAGAATCAAAGCCATTAGAGTACAAAATGAATTTTTCCACAAAACTTGGGTTTTTAAAAACCTAAAAAAAAATACTGTGATAATGCTTGGCATGAATGAAAATACACATTAAAAATTCTCATAAATTTTTTACATCTTTTAGAAAAATACATAGGAAAAACAAAAAGCAAAACATTTTTGGTCGACAGCTTGGGAAAGAACCATTATATTCCCAAACCACTTTTGTAAAAATTTTCATGCACCCCCCCTGGAGTGACAAAGGTCAAGTGGTGTCAGCATTAAGAGGTTTAACAGCTCATTATAGAAAAAATAAAAGGGGACAGAGAAACTCAGTCAAAGGGCAAAATGACGGGGAATGGGTGGTCCCAAAAAGCACCCTATTCCTAATATGCCCAGGGGGCCGCAAAAAAAAGGAAAAGGGAAAGGGGCCAGTTGGGACGACTGAAAAGATTTATTTTAAACAAAAAAAAGGGGATTTTTGGGAGGATAAAGAGAGAGGGGAAAGAGAGGTTTAGGATGTTTTCCCGATGTTTTTAAAAGAAAATTTTTGTTACGTAATTCGCTAAGGATAAAAAGCGTTGCTAAAAGGGCCATATATGATCACACACCAAGACCCCCCCTCCCCTAAGGGGGGGTGGGTGGTTCATTAGGGGGATATGGGCGCGCATGCCAAAAGGGAAAAAAGGAAGGGATTTTTTTTTTTTAAACAATTTTATCACGGCAAAAGTAGTTATCAGTGTTTTTTAATCTAGACGTCTGATCTGCCACTAAAGTCCA